ATTATTAATGCAAGCTTCCTTCTTAATTTTATAAAAAACAATGAGAGAATTTGAATCTCATAGGTTTTCTTTTATCTATTATGTAAAGTTACTTTATTAGTTTGTAGCTGCTGTGATTAGCACATAACTGTTAGCATTTTGGTTGTGTGTTTCTAGAGCTGGTTCAAGCTGTAGGGCTGTTAAAAACCGAACGGATGATGTTACTGTGCTGAATGTGGTCTGCGGCACGTTAGTGAACGTTTTGTCATTCGCTGTTTATTTTACAGCCACAGACTCTTTCACATGCATAATGTGCCATCATATAGACCACTGTGTATTTGTCCATAAAATTATTTATACAGTATACATTTATAAAGGACTTCACCAGAGTAAATTCTAGATACAAAATAAAATCTGCTTTTTTAGTCAAACTGTGAAAAATACCTCTGTGACTGTTAAAATGCTACATTGTCAGGAATTTATTAATCCTCGCCAAAGGTGAATTAATTCTAAACCTTCTGCACTTAATAGTTATTTTGATTCCTTAACTGTAACCCAGTTTCATTAATCTAGGTTATTGTGTTCATCTTTGATCATTTGTAACTGTTTTTCATTTAATTAATTTAATCTTTTTTCCTTTCTCTTTTGTTTGCGAAATATGCAATACATATGTTTTTTAATCATGGTTTAACGGTATATATCTGCTTTTCTTTCAAGTCTTCATGTAGGTTTTATTATAAGTATGATTATAAGGTTTGCAGCTTGTGTGAACTATGTATACTTTAAGCATATTTTCTGCCAGCACATCTACAGAAACATTGGTGATAATGTACTCATTTATTTTACTTTATGTCTAAAATTGAAATTGCATGGTTATGTTCTTTCACTTAAGGTAACTATGCTCAGTTCTGTAAAATTGCTTCCATGGAATTTGAGCAGCTAGCAAAAAATTTGCTTATTCATCAGAGGTTGAGCACGAAAACCTTTTTTCCGCCTTAGCTACACCTTAGCTCCCCCTTTTGAAGTTCTTTACTTAAAGCCAGCAAACAGGAAGTTCTAGCAGTCTGTTGAGGAGTCACAAGGAGAAAGAGAGAGACATGTGACTGTGACAAAGAAGCCCTCTTTCTTCTCTGACCAACATAGCACTTTAGTTCTGCAGATCTTAAATTTTAGTAATTTTTGTTTCGTGTCTCAGTTCGTCATGTCTTTGTTCATTTACTCAGTAATCTTGAAGTGTTGGTAACTGCTAGACTGTTGAATAGCCGCATCTAGCTGCGCTTGTTTTTAAGTTTCGTCGATTCATTTTGAAAATCTAACTGGCAACGATAGGTGACTGCGAATACAGTGAATAACAGACACAGAAGCAAACACAGTGCTGACTGAAATCCATCTGAAGAGTCTCCTACAGTGACCCCCGCATAAAACTGCAGCCCGACTTCACCAATTAACCCCTGCAAGCAAGCTCATGAGCCACCTTCCTCATCAGAGCCAGCTGCAAGCCCGCCTCGCCATTTTGGTCCAGTCAGATGCGGTGCCCCTGAGGTTCACTCTTCGCTGGCCTTGCCTTTGACCCATGGACCCTTCTCCAGCCCAGGCGAGCAGGCGGCTTCTCTTCCTCAACGCGCATCACCATGGCTCTGTCTGAGGCGTTCAGGTCGTACATTCACCCACACTGCTATTTCATGTGATTTCAGTCTCATTGTTTCCCTTTTTATCCAAACATAGGCCAGTCCTACACTAACGCTAGTATTGTTCTGCTTGCTGTTTAAAAGCCATATTCTAAGAGTCTCTGCCAATTACAGTATGTTTGTCCAGTGTATTTAATACTTTTGGTTTCTCTTCATAACTGCTAATATTTAGTGTCTATATACCTGTTGTAATCCATCATTTAGTGCTTATATACTGTCAATAAATAAACCTTTAATAAAATCATCACTGGTGATTTGTGTGCATGTAAATACCACAGTTCAATCAAATCTGATCCCTGGACAGCAGGTCAATCCTTAACCTGAGATTGATTACAAATATCTGTGTTTTATGGTAAGTGGGAAATAAGATGGTTTGAGTGGCCTTGTCCCACAACAGCAGTTAAAAGCAATACATGCAAAATGGTAGTTGAGTGTAAAGGGGGTAACACCAGCAATTCGCTGTAGTCAGAACAAAATCTAGTATCTCCAAAATGAGAACTTTACATGAGAAAGAAACATCCTTCTATGCTTTTAATGTAAGTCAACGGAACCAGACCTTTTTCCTAGGTCATTTTTGGCCAGTTCTTCTGCATTCAGTCCATTCAGCATGAAATGTACCCACAATGTAAATGTAAAGGGCAACAGGCATTTTCAAATTATGTCAAAAACTGAAAAAATGCAGATAAAAGGTTTTGTCCTGACAGCAGCAACATACAACATTTTATAAATCTGAAGCAGTGCAGCATATTTGCTTTAACAAAGCAGCTGCGGCATCTTTGTCCTTCTGCGCAGCATTCTGATGTTGTGTGACGAATTGTGCTACCTTGTCGAAATGTCCTACTGTAGCACATATTTATCGATAGTTCCCTACATAAAATTCCGGGTAGGTTATTTTGATAGCTTAAATCACTTTACCAAAAAATGCCATCAGAATTAAAACTACAAAGCTGAGCTCAGCTTCCTATGCGCCAGCTTCTTGTTTGTTCTACTGTAATGGTGCAGCAGTTATATGGTAGCGGCTCAGGCGATATAATAATAACTGCTGCACCATTTAAGATGGAATAGGAAAATCTGAAAAAGAAGCTGGTGAATAGGAAGCAAACTTGTGTGTTAAAACTACAGGTAGGATAGTTTGATAGTGTAAATGTCCTTATCAGAAAACATTATCAGCATTAAAAGAATAATTAGGATATTCTGACAGCCTAAATCAGCTTATCCTGGGGGTTTAGAACTGTTAGTCTGAGTCTGTATTGAATCAAAATTCGGTAGCCAATAGCTAGTATAGCATAAATCACTAACTGCTAAGCAGCCTAACTTTGAACTTAGTGTAAGCTGTCCTGACAACCAGGGGTAACTAATTTTGCATTGTTTATGGCTGATAGTATTTTCAACTGTAGGGAGATTACCACAGCCTTTTCACATCTTTTCATTTTGAATCTTATTACATCTTTTCATGTCATTTTTTTTTTAAATTATGAAGAGTAGTACCAATAAAAATATCGACAAGAATCAGTATAAATAAATTCCTAAAGATACCCATCCTTACCCAGATTGGCAGTGGCTCTCCAAAAATTTGATTGGTCACCATGGGTGCGCCCTGACTTGAAGCTAGCAGTCTGTAGTTATTAGGATGTCAAATCTGGAAAGGGTTATCTGATGCTTCTTTTAGGTAGGTGTATTCTACCAGTGATTAATTATTTGGATTCTCAGCAGACACTCAGCTTTAAACTGCGCGACTTTGAACTATACCAGAGGCATCGTGACAGTCTGCAAAGCAGAAAGGCAACACTTACTGCAAACAGACAAAGCCCTACGATTTAGTTCACAACTTAAATGTAATTTTGTTGTTTGACTTAAAATCACATCTAAACTATATCTAACAAATACCTACAGTTTTGTGTTGAAGGCTCTTTTAGCTAAGGGGCTTCAGTGCAGGCAGGACCAAAGGAAGTGGAACGTTTTCCAATATTTTGTGTGATAGAAATGCTTAAAATGTTATCACACAGCGCTCCGATTCTGTACTATATGCATTAGTTGGCTCACATAAATAAACCTCAAAAATCACAGCTCAGGGCTCCTGAGTGGTGCAACTGTCTAAGCATTGGCCCTGTCATCAGGAGATTGCGAGTTCGATCCCTGGTGATGCTACAGCCATTCGTAGCCGGGAGTCCAAGAGAGCACAATTGGCCTCGCTCTCTCTGGGTGGGTAGGATGGCCCCCCATCACTCAAAACGATGCTAGTCAGCGCAGGCGTCTGTTAGCTGACGTAGCAGATCTGGCGTTTGGCGCTTTCCTCCGAGCGTGTTCAGCTGTCCAATGACGTTGCGTGAGCGGCAGTTCGAAAAGATGCGGTGGTTGGCTTCACAGGTCTCGGAGGAAGCCTGTGTTAGCCTTCACCCTCCTAGCGTTGATAGTATCATGTGATTGGGGGAGTCCTAACTAGCGGGTGGAATTGGACACAACTAAATTGGAGAGAAAATTGGGTAAAAATCCAGAAAAAAAAAAATTCACAGCTCTAAGAAATGTGTAATTGATTTATAGAAAGCCTATTTATTTGCGTATGTATAAATGCATAATATAAGCTTCTCCCCGTCCCTGCCTATTTAACTCTGATAGACTGTATCCTGATACCTAGTTTTGATCGTTGACAGAGGTTTCCACAAAAGATGATATATGAAAAACCCTCAGTTACAGGGTTATACAATACAGGTTTAAATTTGAAATCCAATTTTTCAATACATGCTAAAATAGTTACACTCGTATTACAAGTTGGTTTCAGTGAAAGGATATTTCGAAATACTATTTACTATAAATACTATAAACATTTTCTATTTTTTTCCTCAAATACTAGACAGTTGCTCTTGAACATTTCAAAACTATTTTCATTCACAAAGTCAAATACTGTCAAGTTTATCTTCTAATTTAATTTCATATGGTGATCCAATTAGCTTTTTCCCTTCTTTCTGTAGATGCAACACAAATTAATTTCCACCTTGTTTTTCCATCAGGACATGCATAATAACCCAATTACCTGCAATTCTGTTTATTAAATATAGAGAACTGAGAGCACTGCACAAAATGCATCGCTCTTAACAGGGTGCATGGCGAAATAATCACCACTGTTCAACACAATTTGAGTGTTGGTAGTGACGTACAGAATACGTAGAATGTACAGAATCTGTTCATGGTTCAGAAGGATTTCTCCTGTGTAAACACAAACCTGCAATGATGACCCCACTCCCCAACACAAGCTCAGAATCCATTTTGTGTGAGGGCTAAGATATTTGGGCTTAGTATAAAAATGCTCTAAAACAGAAAGTTAAGTATTTGTACCTGCCCAGGGCCTGGACTTTGGCAGCATTTCTCTCCTCCAGGTCAGCCAGCTTCTTCTTTAGGTTGTCTACCTCAAGCCGTAGCCCAGCTGAGTGCTCCATCTCTCCATCCAGCAGACTGCGAAGAGACCTACAACCAGCAACATACACAGCATACATAGCAGAACAAAACAAAATAAATCAAGCAGCAAGTGTTCAATTCACATCACTAGTGAAGCTCACTGGAACCACAACAAGTAAAACTGTGACTTTTGATATTTGTCATCTTTGCTGCTTTGCTTTTTTTGGTCCAGTTCAAAGTTACTACAGGCATACAACTGAGACTGGAAAAACTATTCAAATATTCAGTAGTGGAATACATACAATAAAATCAATATATTATTTTTTTCTTTTTTGGATTTTTATATTTCAGAAAAGATCAACAGTTTTACTTTGGCCAAAAAATTAACGCAGATCACATTTTTACACCCTAATATGAAAGGTCTCAAATACACATAAAAATGGCATCACGCATGTGGCAACACAATGGCACAGTTGGGGGGGCACTCACATGTTCTGTTCGGTTAGTTCATCTTTCCTGTTCATCATGGCCACAATGGCTTGGCGTAGTTCGACTGTGGAAACAGAACTATCTTAATAAGGACTCAAAAATGAAATTTTTGTTTCTAAAAGAACAATAATAAGACTCGCACACAGATTTAGTGTTCCATGCAGACCTGTACTTTTTCCAATAAAGGATACTGTTTCAGATTGCTGACATTTTCATTTGTGTAGCACACCAGAACTAATAAACGGAACTTTGTGGGGCTTAAAATACCAGCCAGACATTAATTTCTTTTAAATGAAGGTGACAAGAAAGGGTAAGACATTTATAACACAGCACAGTGAGAGTTTTATACCGTTCAGTTTAACAACCAACTACCTGTGAACACTGACTGGCAGACAATGAGTTTTTACTGTATCTGCAGGCCTCATCCACCAGAAACAATTTTTCCAATAAATCATATAACTCGTCACTGTCAAAACCTTTCAACCTTTTTTCCTCTTTTTTTGTTATACCATTTGAAATCACCAGATGTCCTTTGTGAGAATATTACATTATAAATGGGCCATAACTGATAACTGCAAAGCAGGAGAAAACTGTAAAAAGAAATCAAAGCGCTTACATCTCGCAATTTCCACAGCCCAAAATGTCATAAGAAATAACAGTTAAGGGGAAGCAAAGTCATGGTGAAATCTGGAAGACCAAGAAAACTTTCAGACAGAACTGCTTGTATGCTGGCCAGAAAGGCAGAGCAAAAGCCCCATATGACAGCAAAGGACCTCCAGGAAGGTTCAGATGAGGAGTGGTGCTGAACCATTCCACAACACAGCACTGCTTGCACAAACATGATCTGCATGGAAGAGTCATCTGAAGCAAACCCCAAAGAAACTTTTTGGCTACAATCAATCAACAAACATATTTTTGAAGAAAATGAAGCAGCATTTGATGACACTTTGCCAACTGTTAAGCCTGGATGTGCATCTATTATACTTTGGGGTTGTGTGGCACAGGAAACATTGCATGTGTGTAAATTCTGGAAGCATATATGGTCAGTAAAGAAAGTGAAGCTGAAAAGAGGCTGGTTTCTGCAACAGATCAATGATCCAAAACATAACAAAACCTCAAAATCCACTATAAATTACTTTAACTAACGCAAGTTGTAGGCCATCATTATGGCAGCTGTAATGGCCATCATAGTCCCCTAACTTGAACATCACTCAAAATCTGTGGGTAGATCTTAAACATGCTGTCCACACAAGATGGCCCAAGAATATCACAAAACTAGAAGTGTTTTGCAAGAAGGAGTGGATAAAAATTCCTAAAACAAGAACAGAAAGACTCGTACCTGGTTACAAAAGTGTTTGCAAGTTCGGTACTACTAAGTATTAATGTCTATTGATAACTTTTGCACGTGCCACAATTACTGCTCTATTTTTTAAGTTAATCAAATATAAAGCAACTGTGCAGTAACTTTTATAGAATACATGTAGAAATCTTTTTAAGTAAGTTGCTGCAGAGGTTATTTATGTCTTTTCTTTTAGAAAATCAACAAAATACATAATTTGGCTTGGGGTGCCCACATCTTTACACACAACTGTACTACAAGTTTTGCTAAGCCAGCATGAAAATAAAAATAACGTAGCATCCTAGGTATCACTGTCCACGTAACAATAAGGCAGACTTACGGATTAACAACAATCACAGATAAATAAGCAAACACTTTCAATCTAGAGTGCGAGGCTGGGTAGACTGTTGGGCCTTTACTGACCTGTGGACTTTATCTACAGTGGCACAGCATGGCATACAAAAGGCTGCTGCAGCAGGAGGAGTGTAAATCCAGTAGGCTCTTGCATCAGCAGCAGAGAGGACGGCAGTGTTACTTCTCTACAGCCCCCTGCGCCTGAGGAATAACCTGCTTCTCCTGTCTCCGGGAGACAAAATCCCAACGCTCCTCTTGGCTTATCATTATAGCAATATCACAAGGAAATGTATGCAGTCATCTATATAAACACAGTCTCAAAAAACAGACAAAATCTCAGAACTAGAAAACTAAGACATCTTTCTTATTTCTGAGGGAGCTACACTCCTTGTCAGTGGATGCTGGAATCAATACTGATCGGTTCTCTCCCTGAAAAAGACTAAACTCCAACACAGACTAGAAAATGTACCTCTTCTTTAGTGTCCCAAAGGACAGCCTTTGTTGATCATATCAATGTAGACCATAAAAGAACACTGAACTTCTACAGAGTCTAGACTAAGTCAATCTGAAATCAAAATTGATCTTTTTTTCTTTTATAGCTCATGTTCCAGGAAATATTAATCATGATTCACCATAGCACATCATCTAAAAGATGTTAAGCTCAGACTAAACTCCTAAACAATGTTGAAGTAAATAATTTTGTCTACTCCTTTTAAATGCCTGGATTCTTTGGAAGGCAGCAACAATATGTTTGTTTTCCAACAATATGTATTAGGAAAACATTTGATTATTTTCCCCACATCTTTCCTACATCTAATAACTCTGCTACAGACAATCTGCAGAAGCAACACAGTCACTTCACCATGAATGAGTGGGCTTAATTGCTGTAGGCTAAATAAGTGATCATATGTAAACCTGTTCATGGTTGTAACCGCCACCATGATGAATTAACAAAAAGAGATGTATTTGCAACTGTTTCTATTTATGGACTAAGTGGACTAAGGAGTGAATGGTACATTCTGTAACTTTAACTTTTCCATAATAAGCGTCCTTTACATTAGCCTCCTTTTTATTTACATATGTGTTATGATGGCATATGTAGGCAAAGTCTGAGTGAGAGCAAGTATGTGTATTTGTGTGTGTATGTGAGTTGAACAGGGAGGGTGATCCGCCTGAGCAGCCCAGCAGATGAGCCCGCCTCCTCCCTAGAGCCTCCATCTGGAGGTGAAACACACCCTGGTGATTCGTCCACACCTCGGACACACAGACATGCACGCGTGCCCACACATGATTTATGAGTAATCACAATGACAGTATCCACTAAATAAACAAAAAGCTAACAAAAAGTGGCACGCACACAAGTTTACCAGCACCAGCACAGCAAATCAGAGGCTAAGTGCTTTCGTAAACTTATTTATGAGGCGCCAATTAACACCCAAATCCTATCTACAATAGTGAGGGGGGGGTCTTACGTAATTCTTATTTGTGTGGGGGAAGAGGGTGTGGTATAAAGTAAACAAGGCTGAGATCTAATTTCCTACCAGCATCACAAATATTGTAGAGCCTAGGCACCAAGTTTCAGCCATTCTGACATTCAATGAATCCATTCTTCGCAATTAACATACTATTTGTAATGTACAATGGATAAAGAAACATCAGGTTGTGTTAAATTTTGTTTCGTAGGCCCTCTTTTCATCTTACTCCTTTCTAGTTCTGAAAGCCCAAGTGAAGCTAAAATGAGCCATGAGCCACCTCAGCCGTTTCAGCACAGTGCTGTCATGCACAGAGGAAATCTTGGTGATGACTGACTGAACCAACAGTGCCCTCCACTGGAGGAAAGTAGACTATCAGGAATGGCAGAGTCCTTCATGTTTATGTTTCGAGAAACATGATATGACTATGATGCAAAGATGATTTTTTTAAAGCAACCTTCTAGTGTTTTATAACCTAATTTCTATCATCTGTTTCTGTATCATACAGTTGATTACCACAGACAATAACTTCAACATGTTTTCCTGTACTTATAAAAAATAGAAAACCTGTTAACTTGAAACACTTATAATAGAAGCCAAGCGGCTTCAGTACCCTCACCCTGTACTCTTTTATATGTGTGTTTTCCCCCCTATTTTCTCCCTGTGTTAGCTGGGAGCCTACTACACTAAGGGAGAAGACTCTTATGTTGGCTTCTGTACAGAGAAAACCAGATAAACATCTTCCCGTACAAACAGGGAAAGCGAAATAACACCATCTTTGCCTTCTTTTAATAATATTATAGCCAACAGCACTGTCGTGGTCTCATGGCATTGCGAAGAATCAATTCTAAGTGCAGAACTCCAACTCCAAAGCCACAGAACCTATATCTGAACTTTCAAATGGGACCAATAGCTGATATGGTGTAAATCTCTGACCTCACAATGATCTGATTCAATTCTTTAGTAAACCATTAAGGGCATAATGAAATCTCAAATTTCACTTTGATAAAATTGATACATAAAGTTTTTTTGGGTTGTTTTTATGTTCCAAAATAGATCATAATTTTATTTTGACCATTAGTGCATACTCTAGGAATATTACTGTAATCGATTACACCCATTTCTAACATTCCAAAACTGACATACAGTGGAGGAAATAAGTATTTGATCCCCCACTGATTTTGAAAGTTTGTACTCTGACAAATAATTAAACAGTCTATGATTTTTATGGTAGCTTCATTTTAACAGTGAGAGATGGAATATCAAAAAGAAAATCTAGAAAATTAAATAATATTTAAATAAAAAATAATTTGCATTTCATTGAGGGAAATAAGTATTTGATCCCCTAAAAACCATGACTAATGTTGGCTCCCACAGACCAGTGACACACCCTAATCTCAGTGAAGTCATTACTTGCATGAGAGACACCTGTCCCAAATTGTCACCTGTATAAAAGGCCACCTGCCAACAGACTCAGTGACATTCCAACATCTCCACCATGGGCAAGACTAAAGAGCTGTCTAAAGATGTCAGGGACAAAACTGTTGACCTATACAAGGCTGGAATGGGCTACAAAGCCATAAGTAAGAAGCTGGATGAGAAGGTGACAACTGTTGGTGCAATTATTCGGAAGTGGAAGAAGTACAACATTACTGTCAATCGACCTAGGCCTGGAGCTCCATGCAAGATATCACCTCGTGGAGTCTCACTGATCATGAGAAAGGCTAAAAATCAGCCAAGAACTACACGGGAGGAGCTGGTTAATGATCTCAAGGCAGCTGGGACCACAGTCTCCAAAAAAACCATTGGTAATACACTGAGACGTAATGGTTTAAAATCCTGCAGTGCACGCCAGGTTCCTCTGCTCAAGAAGGCTCATGTCCAGGCCCGCCTCAAGTTTGCCAATGAACATATTAATGACTCCGGGAGATACTGGGAGAAGGTGCTGTGGTCAGATGAGACCAAAATTGAGCTCTTTGGCCTCAACTCAACTCGACGTGTTTGGAGGAAGAAAAATACAGAATATGACCCTAAGAACACCATCCCCACCGTCAAGCATGGTGGTGGAAGTACTATGTTTTGGGGGTGTTTTTCTTCTAAGGGCACAGGCCAACTTCACCGCATCAACGGGGCCATGTATCGCAAAATCCTGGGTGACAACCTCCTTGCCTCCGCCAGGGCACTGAAAATGGGTCGTGGATGGGTCTTCCAGCACGACAATGACCCAAAACATACAGCCAAGGAAACAAAGGCGTGGTTCCATAAGAAGCATATCAAGGTCATGGAATGGCCTAGCCAGTCTCCTGACCTCAATCCCATAGAAAATCTATGGAGAGAGCTGAAGCTTCGCGTTTCCAAATGCATGCCTACAAACCTTAAGGATTTGGAGATGATCTGCAGAGAGGAGTGGGCCAAAATTACTCTTGAAGTGTGTGCAAACCTTATAAAAAACTACAAGTGTCACTGTTAAAATAAAGCTGGCATAAAATTATGAGACGTTTAATTTATTTTTTTGTATTAAAACTTTTAAAGTCATTGGGGGATCAAATACTTATTTCCTCCACTGTAGCTCAATCATCAGCAGTAGAATAACACACAGTGATTTAATACAGAGTTTAAAAAAAACACACAAAGCTTTTGTTGGACCCGTATGTAAAATAGCATGTGAATTCTACTTTGGTTAAAAAAAAACAAAACAACGGAGTACATCCTTTTGTCTCTACCAAGAGCTCTCTCTTTTTTGCCCAGGGTCTGGACATTTATAAGTAACTCTAATATTATCTATACTACTGCCCTAATAACTATCTGTAATCTAATGTCTTCAAAAAGAATTAAAAGAATCAAAGAATATCAACAAAAATGAAAAAGGATAGAAAGGAATGAAAAAGACTTCAGCTGCTGAGTTCTTGTGTAAGGATTAAAGGCCTTCACTTTATTAAGGATCAAATGGCAAGATGGTTCCCGGTCAACCACAATGCAAATATCATCTCAAAACATCCCACAAACCTTACACCTTTTTTGGTAACCTTTAAAACCAAACGCGTATGATGTCTTTTTAACACTACGGTCTGACTCTTACCAGATTGTTCTCTCCTCACAGGGCCCTCTTGCACAACTCACCATAGGGCCATCTCACACAACCCTCCATAAACGTACAAGAGTGTACCTCAGCTACAACTTAAACTGTCATCTGGTACAGCTCCCTTCTGTGGGCCAAGAACCTCTTTCCCCGTTAGAGCGTCTACTACATAAGGTCCATAGTCTGCTTCCCTATATTACCTTATTAGGAGCTCTCCATTCAGCCAATATTTAGTTTATTGATTGCTAAACAGGGAATGTTTTATTCAGTCTTTCCCATCACTTTACTGAATACTATTATAATCAACAATAATCAATTATACACATCCAAAACTGATGCAGTTGAGTCACCACTTTAGGACTGATGCATTTTACTCATCTATAAGCTGGCTGAGCCACTTGTTAGTCAACCAAGAGGATTCCCTAAAAACCATCACATCAAGTGTTTTTGTCTTACACCAGGGCATAGTTAGAGTCCAGAACACTGCAGATCCCAAAGATGGAGAGTATTGTAGGAGTCTAACAATATTAAATACATTTTTTGATGTTTTCTAAGCTAATTTCTATACGCGACAACTGCAGTATAGAGGCGATTACCACAGATAGTTATTGGGATGGACGTGTACTTAGTAAAAGAACAGAAAACCTGCTTACTCAAAGCATAAACTCTTGAGGAGATGCATGGAAAAAGGCAGGATGGAAATCAACTCACCCACAGTCATGGAATCAGGCAGGCCAGGAGTGGCCAGTGTACTGGTCAAAGCGGCATTTGGGGTTGATGGGCTGGGATCCAAGCTGAGAGAAAAACTCATTGCAGTTAGTGATAAGCAGCTCAACAGGACTCCCATTAGATGTGCTGTGTTGCCAAACAAAAAGGTTACCTGAACTGTGTCTGGGCTTTCGGTTTTTCTGTGTCAATGGCTGAGCTAGAGCTTTCCGTTTGCCCCTGAAATCCCACCATCTCAACAGAGCTGACATCTGAAAATAAAAAATTACTCTGCTATACCATTTCAAAATGTAATGCATATGAATTCATATTCATAATAGGTAATATAGATAATGAAGATTCAAAGAATGCTTCCAAATGTAACAGTTATGCATGCGTTGCAATCTAAACAGCATTGTGTCTGCTAAAAAGAGTTAGTAAAGAGTTAGTAAACCCAAACTGACAGTGTGTACTGTTCAGACCCTGTGGTGTGTAAGGCTCTGCTGAGGTGAGAGGGATGAGCACGTCTGAGCTGTCGTTGTCAGTCTCTGTGATGATCTGTCTGGGGCTCCATGTTGACACACTGGACAAGCTCCCAACTATGACCCTGAATGGAGAGACACAAGGTATGAGACAATGAATCAGCGAAAACCTATATTTGCACAATATGCACGAAATACTATATACCAAAATACCATACCATATACCAAAATACCATACCAAAATATCATTGTGATTATATTGCTACATTCTGTAAAGGCAATATGCCTTCCAATATCTTCCAATATCACACTGTCAATCCCTTCATGGCCAAAATGATCTATATTTGTTAAATCATGCAAATCCTGCTTTGATTCATTCAAACACCCAAAGACCATCTGTGACTGCTGCTCACAGGACACAAAAAACATTTAGTGATTAGTAAGGAGGTGTATTTGCATATTGCAGCCATCTGCAATAGTAATATTATTAAGATCAATACTACAATAATAATTAACAAACAATGCACTGTGCAACTCTTCTATATTATATAATTTCCAAGTAAAACACATACAGAAATCATAGTAAAAAAACAAGCCCAACTATATCTAAATACTTCTAATTTTTGTTTTTAAAGATATATCCTGTAATGGTATAAAAGATTGATCTCTCTTAAAATAATAAAAGATTTAAATGATTTATTTATAAATTAATGAAATAAAGAAGAGAAAAGATGAAGAGCTGAATAAGTTTCATCATTGTTGTACTTTACTGAAAGTGTTGTTCATGTGCATCAAGTCATGCACTGAGTACTGAAGAACAAAGCAGATACAACATGAAAAAGAAATGTAAAAATCTTCCATGCAGGTGCACTTCAAACTGTGCAAAGATTAATCTTAGAAGAAATGTAAACTCTGCAAGCAGCGTTTTAATAAACAACAATATACATACCAAGCAACAGAACATATCAGATTTCATATTCCGTCATGTTTTGAATTTACACTGTAAACAGGAAACTCAAGAGTAGAGTCTGCAACTTCTTTTCACCCAACCCAGGCTGTGTCCCTGTGTGTCTTCTGGACATTTGGCTTCTACTAAAACTCAAAATAGTTTTAAGGTTTTCTAGCTTAGTTTTCATGCTGGATGCATTCAAATAACTCAAACTAAAATAATTACATTAACTCAAACTTCACAGTAACAGACACACAAGATGTTTGTTGGAGGAGATGCCCAATACTTTTCTAAGTATTTCGATTTTTAAAATATTTCATATTAAAAGTACAAAAGGGCTTATTGGGTATGCTAACTTACTGGGGCCATTTCCCCTGTTTAAAAAGAAAATGCAAAAACTTATGAGCATGAACTCACTGCTCCCCACTTGCAGGGTCCTCTTGAGGCTCTGGCTGGCTCTTTCCATAAAAATCTTCATCATCCTCTTCCTCATTGTCAATGCTTTTGGTGTCAGAAAGAACTCCGTTTTGAGGAGGGGTTTCGGCCCAGCTGATGATGCCATCTCCTGGCTCAGGAAGCCCGTTCTGAGTGGGTAGGGACTCAGGGGGCTCCTCAGCCTCCTCTGAGCTCAAACAGCGTGCTGTGTTCTTCCCCACACTTCTCCCCACATCCTCGTTGCCCTCCTCTTCGTCCTCCGCTCCCACATCCAAATCGTCGTCAAATGAGATGATGTTGGTGATTTTCTTCTTCCGTCTGCGCTCCTTCCTCAAACAAGAATCTATGGGGCAAAAGGAACAGAAACTGGAAAACTTCAAATGTGTCAGCTGCCACAGTTATTTTAACATACATATTCAGCAAGTGGCATTTGCGATCCAATCGACTAATCATCCAACTTCAGTACCGGACTTCACTAATGTTTTTGTGGCTGAAGAAAATCAAACCACAGCAATGTTCCAACATTTAGTGCAAAGCCTTTCCAGAGGAGTACAGGCTGTTAATGCAGCATGGGGGACAAATTCCATGGTAATACCCTTCCCTTGACTTTAGAAGAAATGCTGGATAAAAAGTATTTTGGACATGTAGTGTATGACAAAACAGCCTAGCCAAAACATCACTTTTAACCCCTTGTGGGCCCACTTTAATTCTTCAGTGTTATAACTACACGACTAGTTCTGCATACCTGTGGAGGCGCTGCGAGGCAAGACAGGCAGGGGGTCTGTGGGGCAGTCTGAGCGTGAGCTGAATCCAGGAACCACAGCTGTGGCTGTGCCAATTTCCCTCAGCAGTGTGCTAACTCCCTGTGCAGACTCCTTCCACAGGCTGCTCATGCCCTGCGTGCTCTCCTTTAGCAAGTGAGAGACCGATGAGCCTGTGCGCACCTGCCCGTTCAGGTCCGTGTTGTCAATGTTGATGGCAAACAGAATAGAGTTCAACCCTGCTTCCATAAAGAGAACAGAACAGTTTTATGTGTGCCAAACTTCGCTTAGCAGTGACCATTTTCTAAACTTAAAAAACAAACTTTTATGGTTACACCTGTTATTCACCGTTCAGTACAAACAATACAAACTGAACAAAGAAAACAATCCTTGCATTTTGTCATTGCTGAGACAAAACCTTGCATCTTCATTTTTGTCGTTATTTGTATTATATATTATATATTTTATATAAATTAAAAATAATACACAACACCATTTCCAAAAAAGTTGGGATGCTGTGCAGAATGTAAATAAAAATAGAATGCAATGACATGCACATTATGTAAACCATATTTTTGAAGGAAAATACTATAAAGACAACATATCAAATCTTAAAATTGAGAAATTTGTATTGTCTTTTTGAAAAATATATGCCTATTTTGAATTTGATGCCAAAAATAGGTTCCAAAAAAAAGTTGGGAAGGGGGTATGTTTACCACTCTGTTTCATCACCTCTTCTTTTAACAGCACTCTGTAAGCATTTGGGAACTGAGGACACAGACTGCTGTAGTTTTGAAAGTGAAATGGTTTCCATTCTTGTTTCATAAAGTATTTCAGCTGCTCAACGGTTCCTCCTTTGTCGTATTTCATCTTTAATAATGTGCCAAATGATATCACTGGGTGACAGGTCTGGACTGCAGGCAGGCCAGTTTTGCACCTGAACTCTTTTAATACAGAGCAACACTGTTGTAACACATGCAAAATGTGATTTTACATCGTCTTGCTAAAATAAGCAAGGCCTTCCCCGAAAAAGATGTCCTCTGGATGGCAGCATATGTTGCCAAAACTTATATATATCATTCAGTATTAATACTGCCTTCAGGGATGTGCACGTCACCTATGCCATGTGCACTACTGCACCCCTATACCATCACAGATGCTGGCGTTTGAACTGTGCACTGATAACAAGCTCAGTGGTCTTTAGCCTGGAGGACACAGCGTCCATGATTTCCAAAAAGAATGAAAAAGAATGTTGATTTGTCGGACTACAGCACTCTTTTCCACTAACCCTCAGTCCATTTTAAATGAGCTCGGGCCCAGAGAAGGTGGCTGGGTTTCTGGATCCTGTTTATGTATGGTTTCTTCTTTGTGTTTTAGAGTTTTAACTTGCATTTTGGATGCAGTGATGAACTGTTTCACAGACAGTGGTTTTCAGAAGTGTTTCTGAGCCCAAGCAGTGATTTCCACTGCAGAATCATGTCTGTTTTTAATGCAGTGCCGCCTTTTAACTTTAACAGCCTTTTGCTGCCCTCATGCCAACTTTTTTGGAAGGTGTTGTTGGCATCAAATTCAAAATGGGCATATATTTTTCAAAAAACAATAACATTTTTCAGTTTCAACATTTGATATGTTGTCTTTGTACTACTTTCAATTAAACATAGGGGTTAAATAATTTGTGCATCATTGTGTACATTTTGCACAGCATCCCAATTTTTTGGGAAATGGGGTTGTAATACATTTATTTATTTATTTTTTGTAAGTTTTATGGATTATTGTTAAAAAGCCACTGACCGGCAGCCATAGTAGGGAGCATACTCGCTCTCTCCTCATCAAGGATAAAAGCCCACTCTTCATAGAAGGCACTGGCAACACACATCACACATTTTACATTAGGTGTAAATAAAAGTGTGGGAGTTAAGAATACTTGGTAAAATGAGGTTAAAACAATGGTTCGTGGTCAAAAATCACAAAAAAATACACAAAAAATGTAATTTATCAGCAAGACATGCTTAGTGTCTGAAATTTGCTTCTTTAGTTTGACACCAGATTGAACAAGCTTACATGGTCTCTGACACTGTATGATATACTGTTATCTAAAAACTAATTCAAGTACACTTTATTGCCAAAAGTATTCGCTCGTCTGCCTTCACACTCATATGAACTTGAGTGACATCCCATTCTTAATCCATAGGGTTTAATATGATGTTGGCCCACCCTTTGCAGCTATAACAGCTTCAGCTCTTCTGGGATGGCTTTCCACAAGGTTTAGGAGTGTGTTTATGGGAATTTTTGACCATTCTTCCAGAAGCGCATTTGTGAGGTCAGACACTGATGTTGGACGAGGAGGCCTGGCTCACAGTCTCCGCTCTAATTCATCCCTAAGGTGTTCTATCGGGTTGAGGTCAGGACTCTGTGCAGGCCAGTCAAGTTCTTCCACACCAAACTCGCTCATCCATGTCTTTATGGACCTTGCTTTGTGCACTGGTGCGCAGTGATGTTGGAACAGGAAGGGGTCATCCCCAAACTGTTCCCACAAAGTTGGGAGCATGAAATTGTCCAAAATCTCTTGGTATGCTGAAGCATTAAGAGTTCCTTTCACCGGAACTAAGGGGCCAAGCCCAACTCCTGAAAAACAACCCCACACCATAATCCCCTCCTCCACCAAACTTTACACTTGGCACAACGCAGTCAGACAAGTACCGTTCTCCTGGCAACCACCAAAACCCAGACTCATCCATCAGATTGCCAGACGGAGAAGTGTGATTCTTCACTCCAGAGAACACGTCTCCACTGCTCTAGAGTCCAGTGGCGGCGTGCTTTACACCACTGCATTCAACGCTCTGCATTGCGCTTGGTGATGTAAGGCTTGGATGCAGTTGCTCAGCCATGGAAACCCATTCAATGAAGCTCTCTACGTACTGTTCTTGAGCTAATCTGAAGGCCACATGAAGTTTGGAGGTCTGTAGCGATTGACTCTGCAGAAAGTTGCGACCTCTGCGCACTATGCGCCTCAGCATCCGCTGACCCCGCTCTGTCATTTTACGTGGCCTACCACTTCGTGGCTGAGTTGCTGTCGTTCCCAATCACTTCCACTTTGTTATGATACCACTGACAGTTGACTGTGGAATATATCTGCATGCCTAGGTGTTTGGTTTTATACACCTGTGGCCATGGAAGTGATTGGAATTCAATGATTTGGATGGGTGAGTGAATACTTTTGGCAATATAGTGTATATTGCATACTGCTAAAAACAGCAGAAGCAGCCATCTTCTGTTCGCTTTTAAAGATAATAGTGTGCCATACCATGTCATTAATCCTATCCACCCTCATGATGTGTTTTGCATCACTAATCACACCTTGTCTTCTCAGTTTTATAACTCAGGAATGTGCTTTAATGCAGCAGTTTACTACGCATATCCTTAGAAACTGCGGAATCTACCATTTCTAAAAATAGCGGCACCATCGCGGTCCGATGAAGCATCTGTGAGTAATCCTTTGTGGAAAAACAGTACAAATAGACTCTCCTTCAAAGTTTGTATTTTATTCTTCAAGTATCTTCTGTGCTCATAAACTCTGCATTTCGGTTTATTTCCACTACTATTATTTACTTCTAGGGCTTCTAAAATATTTACATGGTGTTTCAAATCAAATATTTGATTGGATCAGTCAGTATTATCCACCGAAAATGCCTCTTCAGTGCCTCCGCGACTCAGCCAGCTCTGAAGCTGCGCTCGCATGTCGTCAGTGCGAGGCGCTTTCCTCACTCTGTTTGTGTGCGTCCTCGCAGCGGCGCATGTCTTTTGGCGCCTGTCCAACATCGCTGGATTGATATAGATTTTAAGTTTATATTATGGTACACAGTTCTTTATTGTGTGTTTTCTAAATAAGCCAGTATTTATCTAATCATTTGTGGAAGGACTCTTTATTATAAGAGTAATTGTTATTTTAAGCAGCTGACAGTAAACACCCAGTGTACTAAAACAGTGTTTTATTAGCTGGAATATTAGCCATATTGGCCCTGAACAAAAAACTCAAAGGCTTGGCTGCTGTGACAGGCTTCCATTATTTGTTATCTACATTAGCCCCGAAGCTCCAGTGCAAAACTGAAGAAGCGAATATTGGACTTGTCTTGGACTTGGACGATCAACTACATGTTTGGTAAGGGGAAGAATGTGTACATTTGATTTTTGGCTGAAACATCACTTCCACTTTTAAAAGATTTCAACCAGGAGCACCTTTAAGCAAATAATACATGAAACTTAAAAGGGCAGCAAATGAAAACAGGTTGAGAGAAACCTGAGGCGGGTACGGTCAGCAAGCAGCATGTGGAGGTAGCGCTCCAGAGAGTGTTCGTTGAGAGCACAGCGGAGCCAGGCTCGCCCGCGACCCAGCTCAGACCAGATGTTCCGAAGAGAATAAAAACGCTGCAGCTCATGCCGATTCAAGTGTTCCTTCACGTAGAACCAGAAAGTCAACTCTGCAACACACCACAGTGGAACACTGTTAAACACAATTTATTTGTTCACCATTTGTTTCCTCATTTTGCCAGCCTGCCACAGGTGTTTGAGTTATATTTAAAATATACCTTTGGAGCTTGTCACAAATGTTAGCAGTGATTTTGCGATAGGTCCTAGTCTACGAGGTCAGAAAAAATGACTTCATTATGAACATTTTAGACAAATTGGTAGTAATTTTCTATTCCTCACAGTGCCAGTTACATGAACTAAGAACTCTCCATGGGAGGTAATTTGGGGTAATATTCGATTTAATGTCTTAGGACAAACCAAAAGCCTGATATGATTATTTTTAAACAGCAAATTTGCAAAAAGATCTAGTGAGACAGAGATGTTTTCAGTTTCAGGGGCATGATAACTGAAGGAAAATGGGGGGTCCAATTTCGTCCACCAGCAAAAAGGACCCTGAGAGACTCTATTTTGTGGCAATCCCAAGAGATTTTAAGCATCTCTTCAAAACAGAGCTGAAGAGCAACCTTAGAGTAGACAATAAATGGCAGTATACATCAAATAATGCAAGAAAAATGTCATTATCTCTGCATTTTATACCACAGTATTTCAAATGAGGTTCTATAGCCCACAGTTCAATAGAATCTATTCTTGGTACTTGTAACATCATACTAACAACTGACCAGCATATCAAAGATATTTTTAAATTTCAGAGAACAAAAAAACAGAAAAAGTTGGAAACCGGTCAAGGCAGCCACAAATTACAAAAAAAGGCAACTCAAAGTAAAACAAAGTCTTCAATAACATTTCTAAAGCACTTTTTCTGAAGACACCAGTTACGCTAACCAACTGTGCAAAAGCCAAACGAGGATGTCAATAAAATTTTCCCAGCAGCAAAACTATTAATCACTCTGAACTATTGTGCATTGATAAGTGGTATCATTCTTAGTCCTGCTGTTGCTGTTTAAAACCTCAAAACCACAGCAGGTGCTGGGAGTAAACCTCAGAGACAGGCTGTTTCTCTTTTCTGACCTTTTTCACAGCGCTTGTTGCATAACCATCTGGTTTCAGAAACAGTCTCAGCACCTGCTTTCCCTGTTTGGGCCCTGTGAAGCATCTGTTTCCTCTAATGGACAGCCCACAGCACTATAGCTACTCTCTGTTACTAAGGACACCTCCGAGGTACTGCCCCACAGGAGTGAAAAGTAAGACAAAATGATTACACTAGCAGTTCATTAACACAACTTTCGCAGACGTTTTTCAAATCACTTGTTTCTGAGAAGTGTTTAAAAAGGCTACTTCTCCAGGGAACACCCTTACACAACGTGATCAGAGAATATGCAAAGTTTAAGAAGATGTTCCAACCAAAGAAAAAAACAAACTCACACTATTTTCCCTTCACTTTAAATGCAGTTGATCAGCCAAGACATGTTTGGTGTCCAATGTTTGTTAGTTTTGCACTGGCACTCCAAGGCTAATGCAGCTAACAGGTAACGGATGTTTATAGCCAGTTGTTAGCATTTACACCTTAATCATCATACACCTTAACTAATCTCAAACAGGCTTGCTAATATGGTTTCTGACAGTGTATGACATACTAATATATATTGTTTCTGTCCGTTTGTTCATATATATATATATATATATATATATATATATATGAACAAACGGACAGAAACAATTCTAGATGGTCGTTGGTACTGTTTTTTACCTATGTGACATACTTTTGTCAAGTCAAGTCAAATTTATTTGTATAGCGCTTTTTACAACTAATGTTGTCACAAAGCAGCTTCACAGAAATCCATTAAAGACAAAGTTTTAACATGAAATGTAAATCCTCCAGGTGAGCAAGCAAGAGGCGACAGTGGCAAGGAAAAACTCCCTCAGAGCTGGGGAAGAAACCTTGGGAGGAACCAAGGCTCATAAGGGGGAATCCATCCTCCTCCTCTTTGTCCACTTAGGTAAAAGTATGTCATACAGTATCAGAAACAAATTCCATTTGAGAACACCTAACAACTTGATATTACGTGATGCAGGTGTGTGATCATTTAGTCATGCAGTTTGCACAACGCTAACTGTTGGCTACAAGCTTCCATTACTTAGTTCATACACTATATGGACTATTGGGACACCTACACTTGACACCTACAGGGGCTTTTATGACATCCCATTCTACATCCATAGGCATTAACATGGAGTTGGTCACCCCTTTGCACCCATAACAGCTTCCACTTTTCTGGGAAAGCCTTCTACAAAATTTTGGAGTGTGTCTGGGGGAATTTTTGCCTATTCATCCAGAACAGCACTTGCGAGGTCAGACACTGATGTCGGACGGAAGGGCCTGGCTCGCAATCGCCGTTTTAATTCAGTTTGATAGGGTTGAGGTCACGGTTCTATGCGGACCAGTCAAGTTCTTCCACACCAAACTCACCCAACCATGTCTTTATGGACCTTGCTTTGTGCACTGGGGCAGAGTCAGAGCCTACCCCAAACTGTTCCCACAAAGTTGGAAGCCTTGCCTAAATGTTTTGGACAACCGCTGAAAAAAAACCCCGTAGCATTATCCCTCATCCACTAAACTTTACACTTGGAACAATGCAGTCAGGCAGGTAACATACTCCTGGCATTCGCCAAACCCAGACTCATCAATCAAACTGCCAGATAAAGAAGCGTGATTTGTCACTCCACAGAATACATTTTCACTGCTGTAGCAATGGGACTGAATGAAACACATGAATTTATTAATTAAGAGGTGCATCCCAATACTTTGTCCATACAGTGTAGCTCCAGTGCAAAATTACAGAAGCAAACATCAAGCACCAAATATTTCTTGGTTGACTGACTATTCTTGAGGAAAGGGAAATTGTGTAAATCAAATTCTTCTACCTGCATCTGTCTTGCTGATGAAGCCTGCCGCCTGCTTTATGGCCGCTGCAGTGAGGGCCAGACCCCGGCTCTTCTTCAGGCCATGCTGAAGCACCGCTTCAAACTGGGCACATAGGCATATAACTCTGTAGAAATATACACACATGAGAGCCAGCGAATACTCACAGGAACAGATCTTTTATGTTAACACAACAGAAGCCAACACCAAAAGGCAATGAAGGGAAAAAAGTAGTAAATAATAAGAATTTCAGTCTTATCAAATATGCTATAACCTATAGAATACCATTTTTCACCTAAATCCCTTAAAATCCCATGTTTATTACATCCTAGGGCTTATTATTCAATAACTGCACAGAGAAAAATGCAAACTGACTGAGTTATTATTAAATTACGATAATGAGGAATGGATGCCTGGATCCATCCTAACCACTTAAGGGATTAAATGAAATTATTCACTTAAAAAAAAAAGTACAAAAATTCTATGCAAAAAACTCTTCTCCTTAAAGAATATTTGGATGCGATGACACAAATAAAATATAAAATTCACATCTGACCTGCTATCAGAGTCGGACGCAATCTCCTTCCTTCCACCAAAGCGGATTTGGCACTGGAAATACATTCAAAAATATACAGAATCTGGACAAGGTAATCTAAGCATAACTACACAAATTGACTACTGTTTTTGACAACAGAGAGCACTGAAACTCTCTTTTCACAGAGCATGCTGCATCTTGGCTTGAAGCATGACAGCATCTTCAATAATTAATTCAAGTTATTGTACCTGTTTAACTGCATCTAGCAGTCTTTCTAGAAGGTGTTGTCTTTTCAGGCCATTTTGCTGTGTGCCTGAAAGGGACAAAGATATGGTATATAACTATACAATCATCTTTTCTCATAAAAACATAAGACGTAAAACTGCATATTATACAATTCTCAATTATTTATAAGATGTACCAAACTGTTTAAGGGTAATTTAATATATTTTGTGTTTGCTTCATCCGTACCAACATAGCAAGAAATAAAATGCCTCAAAAATAGGACATGATTGAGGATGGCAGAAGTTCAGTTTGTTTTGTGTAGCCACACTGCCAATAAGTGAACTGAAATATGCATCTTTCATATTAGTATATTACAAGCTTTAAACTTTTGAGTCAATCATAGCACCTTATTTTGGTTCAGGCCCTAAGTCTCCACAGACACTGAAACTCAGGCTGCTTAACCATGAATCCATTCCGAAGCCCAGGCCTCAGCATCATCTGCTTGGGAGGACAGCCTGGAGATCAAAGGCTCAGGCCTCAACACAAATCTCAGATCCATCAAAAGTTCAAACTTTAGCTGAAGCCCTGACCCCTCAGCCTTGGATCTTCAGGTCCCAGACCCAGGGTCATTTTAGTCTTAATCTTTTTTAATTAAACCAGTGCTTTCAAAATCTAGTCACCTAATTGAGCCTAATTGGCACTCAAACATTTAAAGGGCCCATATCATGAAAAACTTTTTTTTTTTAGATACGAGTTTGATGCGACATGTAAAGTTTATCAGTCACTACTCAGTCCATTCAGTCCATATTTGGAAACAAAGCTGCCAAAACAACTTGTTCTGACCTCACCATTTCACCAAAAAAACAAATGTATTTACATATATCTGCTTATTCAGCCTACAGCAAGTTAGCGCCACCTATTCACACAGAAGTGTAAGGAGAGTTTAAGCCTAGACTACTGTTTCCAAACAACCACACTACAGGACAACCGATCAGAAAACTACAGTAACATCCTGTGTAAATAAAAATAATATGTGGCCACGACCTAGTAAGACTTGGGAATAAGATGATTAAGTCGTGGCAATGACTTAGTAAGGCCATGACTTAGTAAGGCCCACGCCTTACTACGTGGTGGCCATGCATTAGGATCTCATTCCCACGCCTTACTAAGTCATGGCCGCGTATTACTTTTATTTATACAGGATGTCACCAGCAGGGCTCCGCAGAAAACAGAAAACTAATATTATGTCATTTATGTACATCAATCATAAAAGTACAGTAATAAATACAACTTGTTTAATTCCATGAATTAAAATAAAGACAAAGAGAGGTTGCAAAACGGTCACACAAAAATTAAATATGACTGTTTTCGGTACTAAAAAAAAACAAAAAAAAACCAAAAAAAAAACATAATAAGTGGACCTAAGGGGGGAAAGATAAAATTCAAGAAAAATATGGGCCCTTTAACAAAATTTTCCATTTGCTCTCACATACAGAAGCGCACCTAGCGGGATGAGATACCATCTTTAACTCTGAAGGCGTTAAAGGATTGCAGGTATCCCACACATGAATTACCTTTAGTCGGCTTATTTAAATAAACTGTAGTGAAATTGCAGAAGTTTAGGTTTAAACTGGGTCTCAAAAACTAGCCTATATGAAGTCCCTATAAGAAAGTTTCCCAATAATCTCAGTTGAAGGTCACAACTCTTCACAGTTGAAAAGTATTAACTTTTTTTGCACTGACATGTCACTAGCAAAACACACTCATACACAATTCAAAAATTCGGGCGTAAATTAGTCAAGGGGGGAATCAGGCTCGTTCAAACACAAAGTGAAAGTAGACACTTCTCTCTGAGCTTTTGTTTAACGTTATCACAACAATGATTTTCTCTATAACTTCCCTTCTACTAATTTGTAGCATAAACACGTGTGCCAAAACCCTCATCGTGCTTCATTTTAGAGTCATCTGTGGCCAAAACCAAAACTAGTAACGTTAACTAATACTGAGATGGTACGGATGTGGTGACAGTACTAATTTACTTAGGACAGAAAATGGGGCCTTTCTCTTTTCACAGAAACAAGCTGCCTCGTTCTTACTCACTTCCAACTCACCGCTCATACTGTGAAGCCGAAAAGGATGAACTTGTTCCCTTTATCATACGGCATGAATACAGTTTTCCTGCTTCAGGTCCGACAGTTATTCCAGCCGATGTCCAACGGGTATTCCTTATAGGATCACTTACATTTTCAGGCAGTATAAATTACTGTTAATTTGTATTTTGCTGCATCTCCAGCAATGAGAGCGCGCAGGAGGAGGAGCTGGCTAACTGGCTAAGCTAGTTTGCTAGCTAACAACAGAGACCTGCTTAGACACAGATTTTTTTAAATATTTATATTAGTCACGTTTACGGACGCTATGTGCAGCAAAGTAACGTTATCATCTTGTGAATGTTGTCCACCATTAGTTTACTTTCCAACCAAATAAAAGCGGTCTTTTGGCAGCGAGAGAAAGCTAGCTAGCTATCTTTCCCATTGCAAAGCGTCTCGTTTTGTTTTTGTCACATGATGTAGTTAGTACTTTTGTCATATGACACACACAGTGCCGTCATTTTTGTTGTCACAACTATTTTTGTATGATAAAAATAATGTTTTTATACAGTTCATATACTGAGTAGTGTGTCTGTTCTCTGTTTAAGAGGTGAGTTGAATAAAAAAAGTAATACGTGTTGCGACTCTGTTATACAGCAGTTATCTACCGAAAAGGAAGATCACTTCCATCAAATCTTGCACCGTCACATAGCGTTTTGAAGGGGTGCTCTTATTTGCTAAGTTTTTATATTGACCGTTTAATAAACATAAAATAATTTGTGAAAAATTACGGTCTCATCTAAATCCACATTAATTTGAACACCAAATTATCTTAACCCAAAAATCAAAGTTACACTATTTTCTCCTTATCCTAAATGCAGTCCATTGGCAAAGACACGCTTGCCATCCGAAATTTGCTTCTATTATATCAGCTTCGTAGCTACAATAACAGCTAAGGAATCAACTTGGAACATGAAAACACAGAAAATGCTACCAACGTCTTAATAAAGGCAAAGTGTGGTCACACTGAATGCTAAAAATATATATTTTGTTATTGAGCCTTCTATGTAATTGTCTGTTAAATGTACGATTTAGCTTTTTACCTGACTAAGCTAATGTGTACTTAAAGGCCCGCAATAGTAGTATACATAAAATACATTTTATTCATGAGAAAATTATGTACACATTTAAATCACATCAATTAAGTGCATGACTTTTTTGCCCTGCAGAATTTAGTTACACCTTCGACTTGTTGTACCTGAGCCAGGCATTCAAACTATTTAGAAGCATTTGAACAATGGAGTGAAGTGTAACATATCAGGGTTGGATCTGAGCCCTGCAGAAGCCCATGTGCTTAGTAAAATAGATATACCCAGACGTGGGTAGAGCAGCCTAAACTCATACTCAAGTAAAGGTATTGTAATTGCTGTGAACTAATGACTCAACTAAAAGTAGCTTTTTAAAAAACAACTTAAGTGGACATTAACAAAAAGTATTACTAGATCAAAACACTACTGAATTATTAAGTAAAATAGTACTGCAGTGGAATTTCTTAGTACATCCAGAATCTATCAGAAACTGAATTTTAAATTTCATTTATTGATGTACTTACAGAGCTGTACTTTTGCTTATTATATTTTCACAAAAATAAAACAATAAACCTTAAAAGCTAGAGGGGTGACCAATCACAAAACAGATATATAGATGCTGCTATCAATGAACACAAATAAAGACAATTAATGGCTAAATGTTATCAAAATGGACCTAAACAGTAGATTAATTTCCTCACAAACCTCACAACATACTTGAACTGAAGTAAAATTATCATCATTTGAAAATATAAATCCATAAAAATTTGACATGTGTACATGTTACTAAGAGAATGGAACTAGTTGCTACCCACCTGACCAGCACCATTGTATTGAACTATGCAGATGATTCAAAAGTAGGCATGCTTCTTCATTTACATACTAAAACTGATCAATTCTATTGCTTAACCAGAGTTGCAATCTTCTTGTGCTGTCAATTCTTTCAAGAAAAACAATATATTGTCAGTCTGTCCTGTGTTAAGCGGGTAGCCTACTGCTCACACAGTGCCAGCTCTCCAGATGCCTGATGTTACTCCCTGTGTGTAATGCGTACTGCAATTATACATTTGCACTGTCTTTGTGGTGACCAGGACGGTGGTGCCCTCCTCAGTGGAGGGCAGAGGGAGGTTGGAGTTGTAGTGAGCTGGGCTTATTCCCTTTTCTATATCTGCTGCTCCATTAGCAGCTGCAGATCCGTCGGCATCCTCAGACTGCTCAGTTGCATCAGAACTTCTCTCACTTTCAGACGAATCTTGTTTTTGAGCTGTAAATAACAGACAATAACAAATAATAAATCAAATTTTTATTACCATGAAATCAGCTTTGTTTAAATGATTTTGACATACATTTAATGCACAGATTAATATTTGGAAAAAGTAGTGGGATAAACATGTATGAAGTACATCATAAAAGACATTTTGTAATTATAGTGTGTAATGTGTATACAGATACAGAAAATATATATTATTATTGACTATAATGTAAAGTGTAATATATAGAGATGTATTTGGGAAATTGTGAAAGATAGAAAAAGATAACAGATTATAATGTCATACATGTCTTAGACATTGTAAAATTATATAATACACCTTGTAACAGATTTTAATATAGCAATAATATATACAGGTAGATAGGTATGGAGATGGATGTGGTAAAATTATTTATATTTACTTAAAAAAAGAACAGATTATAATTATATAATGTAATATATAACAAAAACTGTTCTCATTCACAAGCATGGAATTATTTTGAAAAAGAAAATGATTTATGATGATAACTCTGCAGTGAAGCTTGTGTGAAGCGCTATATACCTTTTGCAAAGGGGACGTGTTTACAGGCCTTCCTTCGAATGACCTGCAGAATTAAAGTCAGAGTGGTGCAAGCGCCAAGAAATACAAACAGCACTATTAGGACTGTGCGCACGTTTTGGTTCTCTCTAGCTTCATTGCCTGATGCTGTAAAAGACAAAAAGGAGTGAAGACTTTCATCACCAGAACATTTAATCATTTCAGTCCTATTAATTATTGAAATGATTTAGTAATGCAGTGATGATCACTAGTTACAACTGACTGAATCATGCTGAAAAGTTTTTTGTTTGTTTTTTTTTTTTGACCCAATTTAACTCAGTGAAACATCCACTTATCTGTTACAGCACTGTCATTTGGGAAGCCACAAAAGCATTTAATAATGTAAAAAAAATACTTACTCGAGGTAGGCCTACAAAATGTGGTGCAAATGGTTGGGGGAGAGTTGCATCTAATGGAGCAGTGCCGACAATCTTCCAGAAGTCCATCATAGTAATAATTCTTGGCACATTTACTCTCAGCAACAGTAGTAATGTAAAATAAAAGCCATAAGTAGAGAATCATCTTTCACTGAGAGCTCTGAATCTACCCTATTAGAGAGCAAGCAGCATTTATATTTCCAGTATGTAAATAATCACTGAGGGGAAGGGGAAGTCCCTTTACAGTTGAACAAGCTCACCCAAAAGTTCTGTTTTTTTAAAACCTTGAGAAAGGTTTAAGTACAGTGTCATAATTACTCTCCTCTTTTCTCCTTTTCCTAATTACAGTCTCATGATGACTGATGATTCATGATTCAAAATGTGAGACATACTGAACTTAATTTTATGCCACATTATGTAGAACTATGAAGCCATAGCAGAGGTCTCTGTCACTTTTGTTTTGTCTTACATTTTATGATAAAAAAGTGTGCAAAGATATTCACAATTTTCTACCTGACACTGGAATTAAAAGATGTAAACATACAAAAACATACACTATATCTTTAAAAGTATCCAGACACTTATTCTAATTAGTGAATTCAATTACTTTGGACACCTGCACACACACAATGCATAATCTCCATTGAAAAGCACTGCCACTAGACAGGTTTGTTCTGAAGCAGCTGCACATGAGCCTACGGTCACCATGCCCAGTGAATACCTTTGGGATGAGTTGGAGTGGTGTTCAAGAACTACTCATCCAACATCATTAAATCAAAATCAAAATCAAATCAGATTTATTGTCACATCACAAGAGTACAGGGACACAGGTGAGTGAAAAACTTGAGTGCGAGTTCCACAAATTATGCAGAGAACAGTATTTACACATAGATAAACAAAACTATAGATAGGATAGAAGAATAGATAAAACCAATTTAACTAAAATATATACATATAATCTTACACAATAACTTAAAAATAATAATATTGCACCGAGACATATAATATTGCACTGGGAATGTAGAGTGAGTGTAATCAACTATATACTATATATAGTAATGGATATTACAATGCTATGTAGATGTGCAAATAATCACACTAGGTGTGGAGGTAGAAGATGGTACAGTAGGTGGCAGAGTATTTAGTAAAGTGCAAGGTACAGGAAGTTAAGTGGAAGCGCAGGGGGAGAGTATTGTCTTTGGATAGGTATTCAAAGTCCAGCTATGCAAGTAAAGTGCGGGAGTACAGTGGGTGCACGTACGTGTAATGGGAAGGGTTGGGCTGGGCAGAGCAGTGATTACTGGCTGTTCAATAGCCTGGTTGCATGGGGGAAGAAGCTGTCTTTGAGCCGACTGGTTCTGGCTTTTAAGCTTCTGAGCCTCCTACCACTCGGCAGCTGAGAGAACAGACAGTGACTAGGATGGGAGGGGTCCTTCATAATCCTTCTGGATTTCCTCAGGCAGCGACTGGTGTATAAATCCAATAGGTTAGGGAGCTGAACCCCGGTGATGGACTGTGCTGTCCGCACCACCCTCTGCAGAGATTTCCTCTCACGAACAGTACAGTTCCCGTACCAGGTGGTGATGCTGCCCGTCAGGATGCTTTCCACAGTGCAGGTGTAGAAGGTCTTAAGGATGCTGGGGTTCAGGCCAAACCTCCTCAGCCTTCTGAGGAAGTAGAGGCGCTGGTGGGCCTTCTTCACCACCTGTGAGGTGTGCACTGCCCATGTCAGGTCCTCGCTGATGTGAACACCGAGAAACTTAAAGCTGCTGACCCTCTCTACCGCAGTCCCATTGATGGAAATCGATGGGTGTACTGTCTCCTGCTTCCTGAAGTCCACGATCAGCTCCTTGGTCTTACTGACGTTTAGAGAGAGGTTATTCTCCTGGCACCAGTTTTCCAGGATTTTAACCTCCTCTCTGTAGGCCGATTCATTGTTGTTGGAGATCAGGCCCACAACTGTTGTGTCGTCAGCAAACTTTATGATGACGTTGGAGCTGTGTCTAGCAGTGCAGTCATGGGTGTACAGGGAGTACAGGAGCGGGCTGAGCACACAACCCTGGGGGGCTCCGATGTTGAGGGTCAAAGAGGAGGATGTGATACTTCCCATCCTTACCACCTGCCGTCGGTCCGTCAGGAAGTTCAGGATCCAGCTGCACAGTGTGCTGTTCAGACCCAGATCCCGGAGCTTGCAGTCGAGCCTCGAAGGAACGATTGTGTTGAATGCTGAACTGTAGTCTACAAACAGCATTCTCACATACGTGTCCTTCTTTTCCAGGTGGGAGAGGGCAGTGTGCAGGGTCAGGGCGATTGCATCGTCGGTGGATCTATTCCGCCTATATGCAAATTGCAGTGGGTCCAGGGTGGCAGGCAGTGAGGAACAGATGATATCTCTGACCAGCCTCTCAAAGCATTTGCTTACGATGGAGGTCAGGGCAACAGGTCGCCAGTCGTTCAGACAGGTAATACTAGCTGTCTTTGGAACTGGCACAATGGTGGCTAGTTTGAAACTAGCTGGCACGACCGAGAGAGACAGTGAGGTGTTATAGATGTCTGCAAAAACTAGGTAAGGTAAAACATTACCTTACCTAACTATTGCTCTTGTGGTTGAATCCAATCAAATCCTCACAGCAATGTTCCAAAATCTAGTGTAAAGCCTTCCCAGAAGAGTAGAGGCTGTGATTGCAGTCAAGGGGAGACAAACTCCCTATTAATATTACTAATAGATTTTACGATCGTAGTATAGTAAATTGTCAATTTTTATGTTCGTATATAATGTTATGTAAAATGTCTACTATGTGTTTTTGGAACAATTTAATGTTCATTGCTCATTCATGCTAGAGCAGGAAAACCTAAAACTAAACTCCAACATCACATCACATCAAAACAACACTAAGATCTAAACACTAGTACAGATCCTTTCAGAAAGTAGCCTCCTTTTGTTTTAATGCAGTTTTGGACATTCTCAACATGCTCTCCAGCAGCTTCCTGAAGAGCCACCTGAGATGCTTTTCCAATAGAACTGAAGAAGATCCACTTATGCTTATGAGGCATTTGAAAAAAAAAAAAAAAGTATTCACTTTTTGAATTTAAGAGTAAAATTTTTGTTCTGGAAATGATTTTATATATAGTCATTGATTTTACCATTTATATACATCTTACAAACTATGGTCTTTATGTCAAAATATCTAAGATTAGAAAAAATGCATATTGAGTTAGATGAGTTGAAGATATCATATAAATGTCAACCGAAGAAATCAGAGCTTTCCCAGCAACACGTTAAATATATATTTCAGTATTTCAATGGTAATCAAGTACAATTCATTTCATCATATTGGAAATATATTCAACAGTCATTGTATTACCCAGAACATTTACATAGTATCATAAAAAAGTAAATCAACTGTGAAGAAATGAGAAATGACTCCACACTATATTCACTATATGTTTTCAGTCATGTGCTTTCTTGACAGTGTGTAGGTGCGGTTGTCTGGAGGCAATGATCTTCACACCACTGTGGAAAAACAGCAGAGTATTACAATCAGTACATACCAATGTAGTGCAAAGTCTGCAAAGAATGTTGTAAAAGATAAGTTTTGTTTGATCCTCTCAGCCAGCCAACTGCAACCACAGTGTGCAGTGAGGGTAATAATTAACAGGGTGCAAATGTGGCATGATCAGTGAAATAAATGTGACAATCTTAAAAATGAAGAAGCCAAAAGGCGTTCTTTTCAGTGATATAAAAGAACCATTTTTGCATCCTGTGAAGAATAATTCAAAGGTTGGTCCTTGAAAAAAACGTTGAGATATGCAAGTGTGAACATTCTTAAAGTTTAAATCACCACACATAACAGTTCTACACCATTTA